GGGGGGGGGGGGGGGGGGGGGGGGGGGGGGAAGAAAGGGGGAAAGGGCAGAAGATACAGAATACTGAAGACCCCATTGAAAGTCGGTTTACCTTGGTTTCAACTGTTTAAAAAACATTCAAGAAATTTGTATAATTGTCCTTTCATTGATTTCTTGAGCATTTAATAATAAAATCCAGGGATACATGGTTACTTATTTATGGTAGTGTTCAGTGGACTTCTGATTACCACAATCACATCCTATGAAGGAAGTCCAAGCATCCCTACCTGGGAAGTAAAAATTATACTCCTTGCAGCTTCAAGTTACTGACACCAGATAAAAATGCCAGCATTGGTGGGCCAATTGGGTTGAATGGACACTTCACCTTTTACATCACTTTTTAGTCAACACTTACCAGTTATGCCAGTTGGGAAAGCCAGAATACTGTTCAGTGGATGGAACCACTCTGCAGGTAACACTACTACAGGGTCTTTCCTGTATGTGAAGAGAAATGCCATGTGGCAGACAGCCTAGAAATAAGATGAAACAAATGAGAAAAAACATAAATTAGTAAAAGTTACTGCAAGAAAAAAAAAATACACTGACAACAGCCAGTAGGTAAGGATGATAAACTACTAAGCAACTGCAAGAACTAGATACCTCCATGATTTCCGTTTAATCAATAACTCCCAGTATCATAAAAAGTGATATCATGTTTAATTAAACAAATAAATATAAAGCATTACTTAAGCCTTTACCAACCCAGTAGCTGGTCTGTGCAGTGGTGATATCTCAGGCATTATTCAATATGATTAAGTCTGTAATTATGTCCAAGGTTGCAGCAGATCTGAAGATTGTAGTAGTGGAAAGCAACTGGGAGTATTGAAGCTTTGATTCCCATCACCCTCCCCAAACTCTGTCAGCTTGCACTCAGCTAAATGTTTTCTAATGCCCAAAATACTCCTAGGTGGCTAGATTTTGCCATTCTATTGAGTCTGGTCTCTGTTTAGAGGCTGTGGCTAATAATCAGTTCATCCTAACCAAGGCTTGAAACTGCACTGCTTTCAGATGCAGGGTCCAGTGTGCTCTGACTAGCTATTTGACTGTCATGCTTTAAACTTGCATTACTTCAGTCATTATAGTATTAAACTTCAGTCACAGTTCAATCCTTCAATCTCAAACTTTCAAGGAATTAAAAAAGAGAGGGGTGGAGAGAGTGGGGGCCATAGCAAATAACCGAAAAAGCATATCCAAGGGTAAATGATTTGACTTGTGCATCGCAGGGAGGTTAAGATAGCAAGGTCCAACTGTACCTTGCTTAAGGTTGGCTGCAAAGAAATTCCCACAAAAATTCAATGTGAAAATGATCAAACTAACCAGGATTCCCATAAAAATTGCTGTTAGTATTTTCCGTCTCCTTGATACCTTCCCACCTCTTTGCTTCACTGAGAGAATAATATTTAATGGTTAGTAACAATATGTTATAGTTATTGTAATGGCCCTTAGAATTGTGGATTCACATCTGGAAAGATCTATCCATGAACAAAACCATCAGTTTGTTCTCAGTAGACAATGTTAACTGTATATCAAAGCTGAATTTTCCAAAAGAAATAAGAAAACATGTTCTCCGTGTTTCTATCATGGAAGTTTGGGAGAACTAAAAAAAAAACTGTGGAAACACTCGCCTGTCGACTCAGGTTCTCACATCATTTCTCGTTCTCCCAAACTTACACCCCTGTTTTCATAACTTGATAGAAACACAGCACATGTTTTCTATTTCTTAAAACATACTATGTATTTGATTTTTTCCTGAACAGGTAATGATTACCAACATACTTTAATTACCAAATACGGACACGAACATTATTGCATTACCTAACTGGGAGAGCTCTTCACTTAACTTGTTTATCTGCCTTTGAAGTCGCATATATCGAGCAAACTCATCCTAAAAAGATTCAAATTAAAGTAAAATGTTAACTTAAATATCACTTTTGATTTTCTTTTATCCTTATAATAAAATGTACAGTACATACTATAAACTTCTGAAAGTAACATGAACCCTCATTACTTTTAGAATTAGCAGCCTTTGGGGCTCACTAATTTCAGGGGGTTGTTACTTTTGGGGGTTTGTGAGTTTTTACTTTTGAAGAGCAAAAAACATTATTTGATATTGATGCCGGCAAGCTCTTTCTCCGAAATGAGAGATGGAAACTCGAAACAAAACATTTGTTCAAAAACGACATAAAATTTGTCATTCCAGTTTCATGGTCTCTTCAAGTCTACAAGTGTTGTCAGTTGTAGGGATGAGTTGTTCAAGTTTCTCTCAGCGTTCTTTTCTGAGCCCTTTAACTCCTTTCTTTACAGTGATATCATAGGAACAAGGAATCTCCATTGCTCTTCCTTGCACCCACACACCCTCAGGTGCACTCCTGCTTTGACCGGGTATGCAGAATGATATATTGGTATTATTTTGTAGCAATGGCTTGTGTAGAACTTTGGCAAACCTAAATCTGGTACATGGCCTACCGGTAAATCAGTTGCATCATATTCGCTGCCATTTGTGCTTGTTATCTTTACCACTATTGTGTGATGTGAATGATCTTTTGAAAGTTCCGGAGGGTCATTACTTTCCGGTCACCCCAAAACACAGACCACGCAGACTGCAGACCGCAGACTGCGGACCATGCAGACCATGCAGACTGTACAGACTGAGTACCGGTATGTTTTTTTCTTATTCTTG